CTCCTGAAGGGCACATTTCTTTGTTTCGGGGTAATATATTTGATTTCTCAAGGTAAGAACAAATATTCCCATTACCATGTAAATGTATTCTTTATCCACAATTTTCTCTGGTGCAGCTCGTGGATTATTTCCGTAATTAGGGTCATTGGATTAGCCTCCTAAGCCTTCTCCCTTTCCATCCATTACCCTTCCACACTCACTGTGTCAATCCCTTACCCCAAACACAGTCAGCCCTATAACATTCTAATTTCTCTTTGACCAAAGGTTAAGCCGCTGTAGAGAGAGATGACTTGTTGTGGTTTAACCTCACGGTCATTATGTCTCATCATGAACCCACGCTCTTGGCTTTACACTGCGTTGTAAACCAGTCAAATGAGCTAACTGCACCCCCACCCCCACCATGGCAACTTCTACTACTGTGCACCCAATCCCCTAGCACTCTAGTTTTCTTCATGTATTCACTTCCTGAGTCTTTAAGCATCTTTCCAACCCAAATCTTGATTAAACAACTTCCTTTTCTTGCCATAGCACTTGCTGTCAGCATTAATGGTGTTTTTTATGTGTCCCTCTGCTGTTCAAAGATCTGTTGTCATGCTGTCCTTGAAAAGTTCATACCTAAACCTAAAGATAATATAGTGTGGAGTTGGAGGAGCACAGTGGGCCGGGCAGCATCGGAGGATCAGGAAAGTTGACGTTTCGGGTCAAGACCCTTCTTCAGAAATGGCGGCTTCGCAGTGGGGTTATAACTCACTCAGAGATAGTAAGAACTGCTGATGCTGCCTGGCCCGCTATGCTCCTCCAGCTTCACACTGTGTTATCTCTGATTCCAGCATCGGCAGTTCTTACTACCTAAACCTAAAGCCTGTGAACCTCTGTCTTATCTCTAAATTGTCTTTCATCTCTCAGATCTCTGCAGGCATCTTCACACTAGTTCCATCTTTCAAATCATGCTTTCTTCAAATGTCTTCTGTGTAGCTTCCGCTCTGCTTACTGTACCTAGACTATGCTGGTCAAGCCAACAGTATGCTTCATAACTGCGACCATGACACATTTTCTCTCTGTCCTTCTCTGTCTCTCCACTCTATTAAACATAGTCAACCATGTTATTTTTGTCCACTGTTTCCCATTGTGTCCCACCTACATTTTTCTGTCTCTTGATGCCCCATCTACACTTTTGATTCTATTTCTTGCAGTCTTAACGTAACCAATACATTGCCAGCCAGGGCTTGTCACCCTCCTTCCTGTCCTTGAAACTGGGAGTAATGTAAGACCCACCATGATTCCATCCTCTCTCTCTCCTGCAATTTCATCAATGACGTTAAGCACTGGCATGGGATCATCCCCAAATGTACACTGTTAAATTTCCAGTCTTTGATCATTGCCTTAATCACAGCTTCACGTAGTTTGATACTTTCAGTGAACAGCCAATAATCAGACAAAATTACATTAACTTTAGCAAAAATACCTCTGAATCAATAGAGTAAATGGAATATAGGTAGATTTCAATGTAGATATACATATTTTATAAAATAAAGCCAGTATGTAATGAAAGGATGTTTATTAGTAAAGTCGGAAAAGGAAATTGAAAGAAGGAATGGTTTGAATTTTTAAAGTACTCAAAATAACATAGATGTAACATGGGGAGGTGATGGTCTATCATTAAGCTATCAATTGTTTAAATCCAGCCATGGCAGAAGGTAGAATTTAAATTCAGTGAAAAATATCTGGAAATAAGAATCGACTGATGACCACTAAACTGTTGTCAATTGTCGGGAAAACCCATCTGGCTCACTAATGTCCTTCAGGGAAGGAAATCTGCCATTGTCACCTGGTCTGGCCTACATGTGACTCCAGAGCCACAACAATGTGGTTGACTCTCAATTGCCCTCCACAGTGAGCTAGCAAGCCATTCAATTGTATAAATCACGACGAAATATCAATGAAGAAATAAAACTGGACATACAACCCGGCATCAACCTAAGTACCGGAAAATACAAGGGCAGAAAAGCCCTGTCAACCCTGCAAAGTCCTCCTCACTAACATCTGGGAACAACTGCCAAGATTCAGAGAGCTGTCTCTCTCACTAGTTATAGCAATACTCGCAGAATCATACCTGACAGACAGTTTCCCGGACACAACTATCATCAACCGTCGATGTGTCGTGCCCCACGAGCAGGACAGACCCAGCAGATGTGGCAGCACAGTGGTATACAGTTGGAAGGGAGTTGCTCTAGGAGTCCTCAACAATGATGCCAGGCCGCATGAAATATCGTGGCTTCAGATTAAACATGGGTAAGGAAACTTCCTGCTGATTACCAGAGACGATTCTCCCTTGGCTGAAGAATCAATACTCCTCCATGTTGAACAACACTTGGAGGAAACACTGAGGGTGGCAAGGACACAAAATGTACTGTCTAAAGGGGATTCCAATGTCCACCACAAGAGTGGCTCAGCAGCAATATTACTGATCGAGCTGGTTGAGTCCTGAAGGATATAGCTGTGAGAGTGGACCTGCAGCAGGTGGTAAGGGAACCAAAAAGAGGGAAAAACATACTTGACCTCATCCTTAGCAATCTTGCCAGCTGCAGATGCATCAGTGAATGACAGCATCAGTAAGAGTCACCACTATACAGTCCTTGTGAAGACAAAGTCTTGCTTTCACATTAAAAATGCCGTCCGTTGTGCTATGTGGAACTATCACAATGCTAATTTCAACAGATCTAGCGGCTCAAGGCTGGGCATCCATGAAGTTCTGTGAGCTATCAACAGCAGCAGAATTGTACTCCAGCAGTCTGCATGACCCCCAATCAACCATTACCATCAAGCTAGGGGATCAACCCTGGTTCAATGGAGAGAGCAGGAGGGCATGCCAGGAGCAGCACCAGGCATATCTTAAAATGAGATGTCAATCTAGCGAAGATACACAACTGGCCTACTTGCATTTCAAACGGCATAATAAGAAAGTGATAGACAGACAATGTCTCAACCAGTTGTTCAGATCTAAGATCTCACTACTGCCATATCCAGTTGTGAATGTTGATGGACAGTTGAACAACTCACTGGAGGAGGAAGGTCCATAAATATGCCCCTCCTCAATGATGAGGAGTCCAACACATCAGGGCAAAAGAAAGGGCGAAAGCATTCACAGCAATCTACAGCCAGAAGTGCCAAGTGAATGATTCATTTTGACCTCCTCCAGTTGTCCCCAGCATTACAATTACCAGTCTTCAGCCAATTCCATTCATTCCACATGACATCAAGAAACAACTGAAGGCACTGGAAAGTGCAAAGTCTATGGGCCCTGACAACATTCCAGCAATAGTACTGAAAACTTGTGTTCTAGGACTTGCCGCTCCCTTAGGCAAGCTGTTCCAGTACAGTTACAACACTGGCATCTACCCAACAATGTGGCAAATTGCTCCTATACATAAGAAGCAGGACAAATCTAACCTGGGCAATTATCACCCCATCAGTTTACTCTTGATTATCAGGAAAGTGATGGAAGGTGTCATCAACAGAACTATCAAGCAGAACCTGCTCAGCAATAACCCACTCACTGGTGCCAGTTTGAGTTCTTTCGGGCCCACATTATAGCATTGGTTCAAACAGGGACAAATGACTGAATTCCAGAGATGAAGCTAGAGTGACAGCCCATTACATCAAGGATGCATTTGAGTGTGGCATCAAAGAGCCCTAGCAAAACTGGAATCAATGGGAATCAAGGAATAAACTTTCCTCTGGTTAGAGTCATAACCAGCACAAAGGAAGATGGTTGTTGTAGTTGTTGATCAGTCATCTCAGCTCCAGGACATCCCTGCAAGAGTTCCTCAGGGTAGTGTTCTAGACCCAACCATCTTCAGCTGCTTCATCAATGACCTTTCCTCCATCACAAGGTCTGAAGTGGGGATGTTTGCCGATGATTGCAAAATGTTCAGCACAATTTGCGACTTCTCAGATACTGAAGCAGCCATGTTTAAATACAACAAGATCTGGACGATATCCAGGCTGAGAGGTGGCAAGTAACATTCATGTCACGTATGTGCCAGACAAAGACCATCTCCAATAAGAGACAATCTAACCACTGCCCCTTGATATTCAATGGTGCTACCATTACTGAGTACCCACTATCAACATCCTTGGGGTTACCAGTGACGAGACACTCAACTGGACTCACAGCATAATGAAGTGGCTACAAGAGCAGGTCCTACGTGAGTAACTTATCTCCTAACTCCCCAAAGCCTGTCCATCATCTACAAGACACAGACGTGTGATGGCATACTCCCCACTTGCCTGGATGGGTGTGTCTCAAAACTCAAGAAACTTTACACCATCCAGGACAAAGCAGCCTGCTCGATTGGCACCACATCCAAAAGCATCCACTCCCTCCACCACCGACGCTCAGGAGCAGCTGTGTGTACTATCTACAAGGTGCACTGCAGAAATCCACCAAAGATCCTTAGACAGCATCTTCCAAACCGACAACTGCTTCCATCTAGAAGGACAAGGGAGCAGATAAAAACCGAAAGAACTGTGGATGCTGTAAATCAGGAACAAAAACAAAGTTGCTGGACGAGCTCAGCAGGTCTGGCAGCATCTGTGAAGGAAGAAACAGAGTTTCTCAGAACTGAGAAGGGTCACCAGACCCGAAACGTTAACTCTGTTTCTTCCTTCACAGATGCTGCCAGACCTGCTGAACTCTTCCAGCAACTTTGTTTTTGCAAGGGAGCAGATAAATGGGAACACCATCAGTTGCAATATCCCCTCCAAAGCCACTCACCACCCTGACTAGGAAATACATCACCATTCTTCCACTGTCACTGGGTCAAAATCCTGAATTCCCTCACTAATGGTATTGTAGGTCAACCCACTGTACTTGGACCGCAACAGCTCAAGAAGACAGTTCACCACCACCTTCTCAAGGGCAACTAGGGATGGGCAATAAATAGTCAATGATGCCCACGTTGTACGAATGAGTTTTAAAAAAAAGGTTACATTGCATTGACTGACAATTTATGTAAAAATATGAGTAGTTACTTTTATGCTTATGATTCTATGATAACTGAAATGGCTAATTATATTTGACATCACAGTAGCTTTAATCTGTTCCATTCTGTTTTTCCCATGGGTAGTTCAGTTGCTGGGCAGTTTGATGGGATCTGGGACCGAGGCTCTCTGCAACCTCTCAACACCTCTGACAGACAGCGGTGAGCACCATCATTTTCTGATTTCACAAACTCAAGTTAATTGCTGGTATGTATCTCAGATCAATGTGGGATATGATGCTCAGCATGGAGCATTTTCATGCTTTTTCATTTTGCAAATCAAAACCTGGACAGAATAGTAAGTTCTTTGTTTAGCTTTTCCTTTTCAGAGTGTACTTTGTTTTGTACTTTGAAATGAGAGAGCAGCATTTGATGATTCTCTCAAATTTCATTGCTGTTTATGAGATGCATTCTGTCAGTCCATAGATGGCCTTTGTACCTATACGAATTAAGATGTTTACCTGGAGAATTTCTCACTGCAATCACTAGCTGTCATGCTGTCCACAGAATTCTACAGTTTCAGCATCACAACATTGCGTTGTGTGATGCCTTTAACTTAGTAAAATGTCAAAAACATTTCAGAGTAATGTTATCAAACAAAATTGGCATAAGCCATATAAGGAGGTAATAGTGAAAAAAAAAATGCTGATATCATAGAGGGTCAGACACCAACCATGGAGAGAGAGCAAGATAACATTTCGAGTCTTGATGACTGCTAACAATTAGCTTGCTCTCTCTCCATGGATGCTATCTGACCTGATGTGATCTCTAGCATTTGTTGTTTTCAGTACAGGTTCCAGCATCTGCTGTAATTTGCTCCTAAGGAGATAATAGTACAGGTAACCAAAAGGTTAATTGAAACTTTAAGTAGCACTTTAACGGAGAAGAGAGAGAGGTAGAGGTACTGGGTAGTTTATGGTAGGAATTCCAGAGTTTTGGAACAAGCCATTTATAGGTACAGTTAGCATTTGTGCTGGAGTGATCAAAATCTGGGTTGTGCAAGTGGCCAGAATTACAGGATTACAGAATTTATGGAATTCCTATAGTGTGGAAACAGGCCCTTCAGCCCAACAAGTCCACACCAACGCTCAGAGCATCCCACCCAGACCCATCCCCCTACAACCCACCTAACCTACATATTTGTGAATACTACGGGCAATTTAGTCTGGCCAACCCACCTAGCTTGCACATCTTTGGACTGTGGGAGGAAACCGGAGCACCCAGAGGAAACCCACACAGACACGGGGAGAATGTGCAAACTCCACACAGACATTCGCCTGAGGGTGGAATCGGGTCCGTGGCGCTGTGAGGTAGCAGTGCTAACCATTGAGCCACCATGCCGCTCCATCTTGGCTGATTGTAGGTGTTAAATACCATACAGCCTGGTAAGGCGGGATGGCACTGGAACCAACATTAACACACGTTTATAAGCATCTATTTGCAGAGCTAAAGATTATACACATGCACCTCCTCATCCAACTTTCACCTTAAAGCTACCATGTAATATACAATTTAATAATAGGGACTGCAGGAAGTTATAGATACAGGGAGAAGTGAGGTCACAGCATAACTTGAATAGAAGCCCCAACAACCAGTTTCATATTAATTGTTGCAGTGAAATCTCTGAAATAAATTGAAACAAAGATTGTTAAAAACCTAACGAGCACTTAAAAATCTAAACAAAATTAATTTAAAAAGCATATTGTTGAAAAGAAAAATACTGTTAAAATCATTTTAATTTTTAAAATTGGCTTTATATTGCAATTGCATATAGTCAGAATGTATCATTGTACCATTGGTGTCAGCATAGTTCATAATTAGTAAGTCAAAATTATAAAAAGTATTTTTAACTTTGGAACTAATTTTTATGCAGGAAAAGTACTTGTGTTACAGAAGGCAGCACAACATAAGACAGAGTGGTCTTAGAAGCAAAAAAGCCAAGAAACTCAGTCAAAAATAATTTTACAAAATAATCTTGTGTAATACCACATAAGTTGAACATGCATAGATGTTATTCTAAGTCTTTCTTGTCTGTTTCAGTTATAGCAAACTAATGATAACCCTAATGGCCAAAGGGTGTCGATACCTTCTGGACACTTTGGTCTGTACGAAAACTGATTTTGATGGTAATGATGGCTTTTTTTTTCTGTTGTGTTCCAAATTTACTTAGACGTAAGTATAATGACTGAAATGTTGAAACCGTTCAGCAGGCTGGGTGCAGCTGTGGAGAGAGAAACAGTTACTTTTTTAGATATAAATGTACATGTGTAATGTTTATTGTTTTGAGTGTAATCAGTATGCAGTGCACAACTGAATATAGTCTAAACAAGAACACATAAGTGACAATTTGCATGGAAGTTCTGTGGAGAGGACAAAGGAGGTGCTGCCTTTTGCCTGTAGCAACTCATGAAAGTTTGAAGCAGAAACTATTTAAAATTTTCATTCCCTGTTTTGGTGCTGAGTGCACATTAGCATGCAGATAAACAAAATCTCATAGTCTATAAAACAGAAGGCATAAATAATAAAGACTTGAGGTTTGGAAGAGCAGGATGTGTCCAGATTGTGGTATTTGGGAACTTGTAGACTGTTCAAAGTGAACACATCTGAAGTTGATGTCTTCCATTTTTAATCTGTCCAACTGAAAGTCATTGAACTGGAGTTTGAGCTGGAGTTAAAGTTCTTAAAATCTCAGTAAGAAAGTAGACACTCAATTTATAGGAAGAAAATACTTTAAATAGCTTAGTGCATAGCCTGTGGAATAAAGGAGAAAGGATTTGTGTGATGAACCTGAATTCTTCTTCAATGTATTTTTATTAACCTAGATTTGTATTTATTTAAAAATTGGTGAAGCATTTTGAACCGTTCATGTGTTTTACTTTTGTAGGCTTACCACCCAAGATCTCAGAAAGCGAAACTCGGAATTTGTTTGGTGAGTAGACTTTTCTTGCATCTTCATATTTTAAAATGTGTTCACCTTCAAAAACTTCAAAGAATCTCAAAACTGCATTACCTCATATTGCTGTTCCAACAATGAAGGAAAATTTTGTCATTTTGCCTGTTTTCATTGTAGAATGGTGAGGTGTTATTTGTCTTTAAAATCTTTTTCATGATAGATGCCTCCGTGTTACTTTACAATTTTTGACTGCCCTCTCTGACCAATCCCTTAACTGCAGCCCATGGAGGAGACAACTTCTCTCTCTTCCACTCAACAACTGACGCAGATGGACTCTCACTTCACTCAACTTCTGCTGCTGATAATCTCTGATATTAGAAAGTTCCAAAAGAAAGTGCATACTTGCCAATGTTCTCCCCATTATTTCACACTAAAAAGCAGGACTTAAAATACTGACTAAGAATCAATCTGGAAGTGACGTGAATTGTGTCAATGGAATCTAAGGAACTAGTCTTTCTCACAATTATGCAAATGAAAAGCTGTAGATTTCAGAGATAAAATGAGAATTGAAAATTCATATGATTCCAACACTCTCAGAACTAGCTTGCCGTTGTGTAATTTGTATTAAAACAAATCTGAGTATGAGTTAGTGGTGTCCACAAGATATTCAAACTTCTTTCTTCCATTGCCTTGCTACTGAAGCAGAACACTCACCCCTGCACCCCCACCAAAAGCTGGCAGCCACAAAGATCCAGGCCCAAATTAAAACTTGAATAATGTTTACTGGATTCTTGTATCCCAGAATAGCAGAAATTAAGCTTTCTGCTGCTTATCTTTCCAGTCGGTTTGGGGTTGCAGTCAGAATTAGAACATATCAATGATTTGAAACCTTCCAGCTTCACGGTGTAGGGAGCCTGATAGTTTACCATTTCTTCGGCATTTGCATCTTGCCAACACTGTCCCAATCCCAACAGTTTCCACACCAAAATAAAGGTAACCCCATATGTAGCTCAGGACCAATCTATGATGTGAATAAGGATGGTAAAGGGTAGAAAGGCTTGTTGTTAGCCAATGCCTGAGTAACAGGGAAAGGAAATCATCTCATAGTTTCATGTCTCTTTGCCAAAATACTTCTATTTTGCTAAATACCTAAGTGTGGCAATTTGGACTGAATATAAAAGTCATGAATATTAAAGTGTCTGATTATCATATCATTTGCCCTATGTAAACTCTCCCATTGCACTGAAAATGGTTGGCTGTCTTATTGCTGAAAGGAAACTCTCAAGACTTGAAAGGACAGCTTTTGGAGACATTACCTGCAAAACAAAAAAAATTAATGAGCATCAACCCAGTGTTGTATACTGGGAAAAACTGCTGTGGTGTACTGGGTAAACTTCCAGGGAATAGACTCTGGCACATTTGAAGGTCTGTAAACCCTTGCTTCTGTCAATATCCCCCTAAACTCTCTGCAGTCAGGACAATAAATTCTACCTGCCAGGGATCAAGTTGGTGTCTACATCTGGACACCAGTTGACTTTTCTGACATTGATTTCCTGAAACCATTGATCTCATGATATCATGTTCTAAATGAGACTGTTGATATCTTTAATTGTCACAGTTCCTTCAAACAATCTGAGGAATTTGAATATGTGTTTTGCTGTTCCCTTTCTTTGAAGGGAGCTGTTGAAATTTCATATCACATTTTAAGGTTGATTCTAAAGGACCGCTGGGGTTGTGCAAATGAAATTTTCACTGGCTGGTGACCATAAATCGCATTGCTGACATTTTACAGCAAAGGCAGAAGGCATCTGAGACAACATATGACATAATATAATGGATCACCCTGAGCATTAGTTTAATAAACTTCCTTTGTTCACCAGGGGCAATCATAAAGGCCAGCAACTAAAGGGGCAACATTTATATTTTGTCAATTTCTCTGGATAGTTCAACATGTGAATAGTCAAGATCTTTTCTCCAGGGTTGGGGAATCCAAAGCTAGAGGGCATAGGTTTCAGGTGAGAGGGGGAAAGATTTAATAGGGACCTAAGGGGCAACTTTTTCATGCAGAGGGTGATACCTGTATGGAATACACTGCCAGAGGAAGTGTTGGAGGCTGGTACAATTACAACACTTAAAAGGCATCTGGATAGGTATATGAATAGGAAGGGCTTAGGGGGCTATGGGCCAGACACTGGCAAGTGGGACTAGATTAATCAGGGATATCAGGTAGGTATGGATGAGTTGGACCAAAGGGTCTGTTTTCATGCTGTACAGCTCTCTGACTCAAACGACTCTGTGACGTGGGCACTGAGATTTTTGCACACTCTCTACAGTTTTTGTGTGTGCCACTTGGTAGAAATCCAGGTCTGATCATTTACTTGAAGGAGCACTTTGATCACTTTAAGCCTATTTTGACGGATGTCTTGAAATCTTCTGTGGATACCCATTTGGGAACTTCCACTCTAGTGCAGTGTTGATAACTCACTTGTCAGCCCAGCTCTTTAACAGTATGTGAAGGAATTCTCTTGGCACCAGCGGTTTAGATGCTTTCAACTCAGTTCCGGATAACCAGGTGTGGCAGTGTCCTAACAGTTCTTGTCAGCAAGGCAAGACCAGTAACAAGAAGCTTTAGGCAGATAAGCTTCATTTGTTTAATCAGTTCCATTCCAGTTCTGCTTTAACATGGACCTAGACATCTCAAAGCCCTAGCTGTGGGCACCTGCACTTCCTCGATCAAAACTTGGTTAAGTGGGTGTGTCCGTGTTAATTGAATAAACTAGCTACCCATTCTAATCCCTCCCACCAGGTCTGTAACCTTCAGGTTGCAGTGCTTCAGATGCAGACCCAGGTTATTTTCAATGAGTTGATGGCTTCCCCCTCAATCACCAAACTGGTCAGCAAATTCCAGACACTGACCACCCTTTGAGTGAAAATGCTTTTCCTCAAGGCTCCTCTAATCCTTCAGCCAGTCACCTTAAATCTGTGTCCCCGATAATTAACCCATGCACTTGGGGAAACAGATCTCCACTGTCCACTCTGTCCAAGCCCTCATTATTTTGTACATTTTATTTAAGTCACTCCTTAGCCTCCCCTACTCTAAAGAAAACAGAATGCGACTGTCATGTGCTATTTATTCCATTGCTTTGTTTTCCCTCCCCGAAGGCATAACCTTACACTCCTCTGGATTGAATTCCATTTCCCATTTTTCTGGCCACTCAACCAAACCCAAACCATTGATAACTTCTCTGTGGGAGAAAAAACATGCACTGCATAATGAGCCAAGCCAAACAGGAAGTTTGGATTTAAAGCAGCTTCATTTGAAGACTCTCTCCAGAATGGAAATGGTGCTAGGTATTGAGCTGACCTAAATAAACACGTGTAGCAATCGGAAGCAGCATTTTTAGAACGCGTAAATGCCAAATGTGCAACAGTTATTCTCCCCCTCCCTCATTCCACACTTTTGATTCTCTGCTGATCTTTCTGGCGCCCTATGCATTTTTTCTTCAATAATTGTGTGGTTGTACAAAACGGCAAAAGGATGAGCAAATTAGCCATGGCACCATGGTACAATGTGCCATTCAAGTGGAGCAGGCAATAGGAATGTAGTTGTGACAGGAGACAGTATAATTGGGGGGACTAGATACTGTTCTGTGCAGCTGTGAGCATGTATCCTGAAGGCTGTGTTGCCTCCCTGCAGCTAGGGTTAAGAAGTTTTCGTTTGGGCTAGAGAGGAAAGGGAGGGATCCAGTTGTCATTGTCCACTTTGGTGCAAAGACTTTGCTAGAACTAAAAAGACTGTTCTGCTAATAAGTTTTGAACAACTAGGAGCTAAGATGAAAAGCAGAACCTCCAAGGTAATAACCCACCAGAGCCATGTGCAAACTGGCATAGGATAAATAAAGTCATAGAGTTAGTGTGTGATTCAAAGATTTGGTGTAAGAGGAATGGGTTTCACTTCTTGGGCCATTGTCGTCAGTACTCTGATTAAAAGGGCTTCAGTTGAACCATGCTGGGACCAGTGTCCTTGCAAACTGAATACCTATAATTATAGAGAGGGCTTTAAACTAAATAGGTTCGGTCAGGAGGTGGTTCTGGAGAGAGGTTAGTGTAGGCTTACAAAGCAAAAGGATATGGCAGTATTACAGGGCAGCTATTTGGATAATGATACGCAGGATAGGACAGAGCGTACAAACATTTTTTAAAAAGCAGCAAATAAAGTCAAAGGTGATGAAATGGTAAAAGGGCAAAAATAATGGCTCCCACATAGAATGCAGAACTGTGGCTTTTTGGAAGGTCAGACAAAAGGTCGGTGGGGTCGCTTTGTTTGGAATAAATATGATAACAAGAAATGATCTAGTGTTGGAAGATATAGTATATACATACATAGGTAGAAGTAAGAAATAATGAGGGGAATAGGCCATTTCTATAAACCTCATAACAGTAGCTATACTTTACGACCGACAGACAATAAATGTTGAGATAACAAGGCCATGATCTCCTGGGAATCAGTGACTATAGGACGGTAGAATTTAGCATTCAGTTTCACAGTGAGAAATGTGGCTCAGAAACAATTCTGCTAAATCTAAGTAAGGATAATTACAATGGAAAGAGGGCAGAGTTGCCTAGAATGGACTTGGAAGAGAATTTAGCAGAAAAGACAGTTGATGAGCAAAGGCAGATATTCAAGAAAATAGTTCATGACTCATAACAAAGATGTATTCTGGTGAGGAAGAAGGATTCCAAGAAAGGGATAACCTAAGCATGGTTAACCAAGGAAGTTAAGGTAGTATCAAATTAAAAGCATAAAACATAAAATATGGCAAAGACTGGTGGTACATCAGAGGAGTGGAAAAGGTTTAGAAACCAACAAAAGGTGACCAAAAAATGGAGATGGGATAATTGATAAAGGGGTAAACTAGCAAATAATATAAAAATGGATAGTAGGGGCTACTGTAAACATTTAAAAAGGAAACGAGACCAAAGGGAGGACATTAATAGCATTCCAAAAATACAAGACAATCAAGATGCCCAAATGGAAGGCATAGGAAATAAGCACGATGGCTGTCACTAGAGGAAAATGTACTAGAGAAACTAATGGATCTAAAAGCTGTACATGAACCCGAACCTATTTGATTTCATCCTAGGATATCAAAGCAAGTAGCTACATGGATAGTGGATGCACCAGTAGTAATTTTCCATGAATCCTTAGATTCTGGGAATGGCCCAGATTATTAGAAAACTGACAATGTTACACATTTCTTCAAACAGGGATGGAGACCCAAAAAAAACAGGTACCTATAGTCCAGTCAGCTATAACATCAGTCATTGTGAAAATGTTGGTCTATTACAGAGGATGTTAAAGGATTTAGAATGCATAGTAGTCAAGCAGAGTCAGCATGGTTTCATGAAGGGCAAATCATACCCAATAAATTTTTTAGAATTCTTTGAGAAGGTAACAAGCAAAATGAAGACCCCTCCCACCGTGGTTATATTCTGTTATATTTTCTTCCATCAGGCAGAAGATACAAAAGTTTGAAAACACATACCAACAGATTCAAGAACAGCTTCTTCCCCACTGTTATCAGACTTATGAATGGGGATCTCTCATATATTAGAGTTTATCTTTCTCTGCACCTTCTCTATAGACATAACATTATATTCTGCATTCTGTTCTATTAACCTGATGTACTTATGTAAGGTATGATTTGTCTGGATAGCATGCAAAACAATACTTTTCACTATCTCAGTAGTGACAATAATAAATCAAATCAAAGATACAGGGGGAATTAGTGGATGTAATATATTTGGATTTCAAAAGGCATTTGATAAGATGCCACACATTAGACTACTTAAGAGCCCATGTTGTCAGAGATGGTATAATAGCATGGATAGAGGATGGGCTAACTAATAGAAGACAGTTGGGATAAAGGAGGCATTTTCAGGTTGACAACCTGTACATAGTGGAGTGCCAGAGAGATCAGTGCAGGGGCCACAATTATTTAAACTTATATTAATGATTTGGATGACTGTACTATCACCAAGTTTGCAGATGAAACAAAATTAGGAGAGAGGGCAAGTGGTGCAGATGACACAAAAATAGGGAAAAAATTGGTGAGTTTGTCATAAAGAGTCAGCAGAGAGATGTGGATAGGTTAACTAAGTGTGGAAAAACTTGGCAGCTGGAATAGAATGTGGAAAAATGTAAGGTTATGCACTTTAGCAAGAAGAATTGAAGAACTGAGTATTGTTTAAATAGAGAAAGACTGTAGAAAGCAGCAGCACAGAAGGATTTAAGGGTCAATGACACACCTCCGAACACAAGATATTTCCAAGCTGCTCTTCCAAACAAAACCTCTCTGCTTCTGTCACTCTGCCGGCCACCTAATGCTTTGTGAAAACAGAACCAATTATGGGAATATCCTAAATAGAACTTTAAAAGGAAGCTACCGTATGTTGGTGTGCGGTTTCAGTCACAGTTTTGTTCATGTAGACAACTATCTAATGTGAATCCTCATAAGCAGTTAGGAATACCCATCAGTATTAAAGTTAGTAATTACAGATATCATCTTTCTTTCTAGGCCATGCCTGCAACGTTCATTTGCTGGACTCATCTGACAAATTGACTGGGAATCAAAAATTGTGGGATCCAGGATGCTTCATTGAGGAAGTTCATCTCATTACACTGAAGACAGATTCTTCCTGAATATTTGTAATAATACTGTATTTTTCCTTCTTAAAAAAAAATTTCCTCAATTAATTCTTCCAATTTTCAAAATAGCTGCACTTCCATGTGTCTCTTCATAGAATGAGGTAATTCATTCTGTGTGGCACTGAGCATTGGTAAGCCCATCAACCATGTGACTTTTCAATCAAGGGAATTCCTGCGCTTCATTTCTTGTTCCCATCTAGTGGTAGAATCCCGATTTTCGTATTTGTTAAAGCAGGGACATTCCTTAAATAATTCTTAAACATATTTCTTAAATTTCAAGATCAAGTTATCTTAAATTTCTCTTGATAACTCAAGGCCGCATTTCACTGCAACTAACAGATTCATTAATCAGTACTAGATCAATCTTCACTGGACTTCATAATTCAAAGCCGAGTCTCTGCACACATACCTAAGTATAATTTCCATATCCTAGAGCTAATACCAATTTCCAATATCATGAAGGATTTCTCTGTGACATGCACATTCCTATCAAATGATGCATATGAAGGGTCACTGGAGTTGAAACATGAACTCTCATTTTTTCTGTTTATAGATGCTGCCAGACTTTGAGTTTCTCCAGCACTTCCTGTCTTTGTTTCAGATCTCTAGTGTTCAAATTCTTTGTTTTATTTAAATGATAGTATATTCCTGGCATCTTTGTCAAAATGGCATTGTCTGTTTCCTTCAGTTAAGTGACATCAAAAATGTTCATAGGTACATCACTGTACATTTCCCAGCAGCACGCTCATTCATGTTTACATATACTGTGAACCACCGAAATGTTTTCTTTGCTAAGGAAAGCACACAAAATAATGCCTTGCCAATGTGTTGATAAGTACATTAAAATAATTCAGCCCCTCAGTTTGTAAGCATTTCAAAAACACCAAACTATTTTGTATACAGCCTTGCAATATATACCAAGTAGTTGAAATTTTAATTTTTTATTCAATATCTAAATTGCTGATGTATTTTAAAAAGTCAACAATATTACTTACATATTTAAGTTTTTTGTGCAAACTAATCGTATATTTTACCATGACAAATTTTGATATACAATAAACTTATTGATTTTAAAAAAGCAGACTCATTATGTTTTCAAAAGATTTGTTTTACAGTTGACAGAAGACTTGTGAGCCAGAGGCAAGCTTGACCCACAATAGGGAGAAAATGTTTAATATTATAGATACAAAGATCGACAACGTTGAGTTTTCAGAGAATGCAGAACACAGACACTTTCCTGGTGGGAATTTGAATGGACTGCACTTCCTGTATTCTAATCTTGGGAGTTTGAGGTTCTCACGTGGTATATCACTTAAATGCAAAACATGGTTTCACTATGCCAATGTTGATTCATTTGTGCCAGACACTGTTCTAATTCTCATGGTGGAGTTAGCAGTGAAGCTTTTCTTTCAAAACACTGACGCCCAAGATTTTGACTTTGTTAAGTATAACATGGAACAGTGTTTGGTACTAAACCACTTGGTTTGGAGCCGACTCATGAATGTGGTCAATGGTAAAAGTGAAATTTATAAATTTTAGCACCAAACATTTTTAGCAATTTATATTAACACTTGATCATTTCACCTGAAGCAAAGAAGCGATTTATTCCTAGGAGGAAGTCTTAACAGATTTCAATACTTCTTTTTCCAAAACTTCCACTCGAAATTAAATATAATTTTTTTTTCTTTCAGGACTGTTCAGATTAATCATTATTTTGGTACAGATCAATGAATTAAACATTTCCTCTCTCAGCAGAATTTCAAGCTGTTCCCTGTGGCACATTTGATCGTGGGGAAGGTCTGGACCCCATCCCAATTAGGTCTATTACAGGTGGGCTGGCACATCCGTAAAATATTACCTCTCTCTTCGAATCAAAATCTCTCAGTTGGATGTAAGAGATCCCTGGCACTATTTCCAACAAGGGCAGCAGAGTTATTACTGGTGTTCTGGCCAATATTTACCCTTGAATCAATTTCAAATCAACAGCGCATACCTATCAGGACCCCAAAGACGTCCCAATGCAATGACTCTGAGGAAGTTTCAACTTGTGGTGGGCAATTCCCCATTACATTGGAACCTGAAAACTCAAGAGTTGGATACTTCAGAGGTTCCAACTTACTTACGTGGATAGTTATCTAGGAAATGTTAGGCAGAAAGATCCTAGATAAACACTCTGCTCCCAACTACTCCCTCAACTCAATTCATCCTTAATCAGCAACTTCCTCTGACCCCCACACTCCATCTAAACACAACCGACCCAACCTCACCAACTCCTCCCTTGACTACTGCCATGACTCTGACTACTCTCAACTCTTCCCCCCATCTTCTGATACACTCCAAAACCCATTACCAACCAGATCTCACCACCTTACCCAGCTGCCATACAACACAACCACCACCCTATTACACTACCAGCCTACCCATAGATCACAATACCCATCCTACCCCCCTCTTCTTTTCTCAATTACTATCTTACCATTTACATATCTACATATTCACACAAATACTCCCAGATGTGGAACAGTGCAACTAGTGCCTTAGAAAGAGGTGTGGCTTCTGTACAAAATTTCAACACTGCTCCCTCTGAGGTTTCCTGTGCTGAATGAGTTTAGGAGTGTCCTATTTGCCTGGTGAGTGTGAGGAAAAAAAGGGATTCAGACACTGCTCAGAAGATTTGGGCCATTATTTAGTCGTTATGGTATTTTATTTGTGTAGCGTGCAATTTGGTAGCTACATTGTCTTACAAGAATGACATTTCTGAAAAAAAATCACTGGTTATAATGTGTTTTGGAACAACCTAATAGCAACATTGCAGCACAGAAAGTGGTTGCCTGGATCTTCGACACTCTGCTCGCACTTTGAAGAAGCAATTCACCTGAACCATTCCTCTTGCTTTATGCGTGCATAATCTTCATTTTCAGATAAATCTAATTGACGGCTATCGTTTTCACACAGGGAGGCCTAAAGGTCTGGAAATCAAACCTGAGAGGATACTGGAGACAGATTCAATAGAGGCATTCAAAAGGAATAATACTATCATCTGGAAAGGGTAATCTGAGGGGAAGATGTTCAAGGAGGCTGCATCTATTCTGGGCTGATCCGGTGACCAGATGGTGCTGGCCCTTCGCCCGTTGTTGAGGCGACTCGACCCCGGGAGCATGGCTCCAGGCCCCGTTAGGTGGACGTGAGGCTCTGGCCGGGAAGCGACCCCCCCCCCCCCCCCCCCCCCCCCCCCCCCCCCCCACCAAACCCAGGCCCGGGATCCGGTGATGAGCGACGCCGGGTCCGAGCGGCAGCCCCGCGGCCTGGTGCGGGACATCGAGCTGCATGTGCTCGAGTGCAAGGTGTGTTTCGAGAGGTTTGGCAGCAGCCCGGCCCGCCGACCGTGCAGCCTGCCGTGCGGCCACGCCGTGTGCAGGCAGTGCGCCTGGGCCCTGTGCCGGCCCGAGCCCCGGAGGCAGCTCGAATGCCCTTTCTGCCGCTGGAGCGGGCCCGTGTCGCGGGCCGCCGACTGCCTCCCCTTGCTGCAGCTGGCCGAGCTGCTGTCTTCAGCGGCCGCTGAGCCCCTCAGTACCGGGACCTGGCCGGCGGAGCTCAGCTCCGTGTTTGGGGGTTGGGGTGAGCTGCTTAACCCCCGGGGTCTGGCGGTCTGCTCTCACTCCGGAGCCCTGGCCGTGGTCCAGGACGGCGAGCAGTGGCTCCGGCTCTTGGAGTGGGGCGGCCGCCCGCTGCCGGGCCTGGGCCCCAGTGCGGACGAGCGGCCCGTCTACCCGCTGGACGTGGCGGTGGCCGGAGGCGGGCAGCTGCTGGTGGTGACGGACGCCGGGGACAGGTCGGTCAAGGTGTTCGCCCGGAGGCCGGGCGGCCGGCTCGAACTGGTGTTAACGGAAGGCGGCTTCGGCCTGCCCTGGGGGCTGGACTGCGGCTCGGCCGAGCGCTTAGCGCTGACCGACTGGGCCCAGGGCTCGCTGCTGCTGCTCGACCTGCAGCTGCCCGGCGGGGCTTCACTCCGGCGGGACAGCGTCTGTCACGGGCTCTGCCACCCCCGGGAAGTGGCCGTCAGCCGGCGGGACGGCTGTATCCACGTCGTGGAGCATCCCGGATCCAGAGGGGGCCGGCGGCTGAAGACCTTCAACAGTCGGGGGCACCTGGTCCGTCAGTTGGACGGCCTGGGCCGGAGCCCCGGAGCCGGCCTCGGCATTTCTGGTATCGCCGTCGACGGTCAAGGCAACGTCCTGCTCGCGGACGGGGACAGTGGCACCGTGGTGTGGGTAAGCGGCCCGGACAACCGGCAATGCAGGACCCTGATCGAGCGGGGCCTGGTCCGGCCTGTGGCCTTGGCCTGGGCCGCTGACCACACCCTGATGGTGCTGGACGCTGGAGATCACACCCTCAAAGTGTACACGGTCCGCTGAAGACACCGCAATGAACGGAGCCGACATTCCATCGCTGTTCCTGCAAAACCTCCCAAAAACAAAGCACTTTGTGACCAGAAGAAAGACTAGGAATGAAATTCAACTTGAACTTTTATAGGGGAGGGACCCAGGAGCTGCTATTGGAAATACAACGATTGTCTGTACTTTTGTAAAAAAAACAAAATTTACTGGAAATCTAACACCAAAAATATTGAATTACGTTATGTCCTTTGAAGATTATACTAAAAGTTATGTGCTTTAAAAATTATTATATTATAAATTAGGCCATTTAAAGAGCAGAAGACTCCTACAGTTCTTATAAGCGTAAACTAATTTCTTTCCTGATTACACGTAAAATCTCCTTTATTCTTTTTGGTTTCAATTTTTCTCTGTTTCAACCACTTAAAATATTTCAGTGTTTTCTCTCATTTCCCAAAAGAATGGACTTTGTTGGTGTTACTGTTTCAATGAAAACAAAACAACTTCTTGGTAGCAAGGTGTAGAGCTGGATGAACACAGGCCAAGCAGCATCAGAGGAGCAGGAAGGCTGACATTTTGGACCTAGACCCTTCTTCAGAAATGGCGGAGGGGGAGGGGGTTCTGAAATAAATAGGGAGAGAGGGGAGGCGGATAGAAGATGGATAGAGGAGAAGATAGGTGGAGAGGAGACAATCAGGTCAAAGAGGCGGGGATGGAGACAGTAAAGGTGAGTGTAGGTGGGGCATTAGGGAGGAGATAGGTCAGTCCAGGGAGGACGGACAGGTCAAGGGGGCAGGATGAGGTTAGTAGGTAGGAGATGGGGATGGGGCTTGAGGTGGGAGGAGGGGATAGGTGGGAGGAAGGACAGGTTAGGGAGGCGGGGACGAGCTGGGCTGGTTTTGGGATGCGGTAGGGGGAGGGGAGATTTTCAAGCTTGTGAAATCCACATTGATACCATTGGGCTGCAGGGTTCCCAAGCGGAATGAGTTGCTGTTCCTGCAACCTTCGGGTGGGATCGTTGTGGCACTGCAGGAGGCCCAGGATGGACATGTCGTCTGAGGAATGGGAGGGGGAGTTGAAATGGTTTGCGACTGGGAGGTGCAGTTGTTTAGTGCGAACTGAGCGTAGGTGTTCTGCAAAGCAGTAGATGAAGGGTCTAGGCCCGAAACGTCAGCCTCTCTGCTCCTATGATGCTGCTTGGCCTGCTGTATTCATCCAACCCCAAGCCTCCGCTTGGTTTCCCCGATGTAGAGGAGGCCACAACGCGAACACCGGTTGCAGTATACCACGTTAGCAGATGTGCAGGCCCAAGCTATGCCTGCCTCTTTGTAGGTTACATGGAACAATCCCTCTTCCGTAGCTACACTGGCTCTAAACCCCACCTCTTCCTCCGTTACATTGATGACTGTATCGGCGCCGCCTCGTGCTCCCACGAGGAGCTCGAACAGTTCATTCACTTCACCAACACCTTCCACCCCAACCTTAAGTTCACTTGGACCATCTCTAATACCTCTCTCTCCTTTCTATATCTCTCTGTCTCCATCTCTGGCAACCACCTAGAAACCAATATCCATTTCAAACCCACCGACTCCCACAGCTATCTAGAATACACCTCCTCCCATCCACCTTCCTGCAAAAATGCCATCTCCTATTCCCAATTCCTTCGCCTCCACCGCATCTGCTCCTAGGATGAGGCATTCCACTCCCGTACATCTCAGATGTCCTCGTTTTTCAAGGACCGCAACTTCCCCCCCTCAGTGGTCGAGAACGCTCTCGACCGTGTCTCCTGCATTTCCCGCAACTCGTCCCTCACACCCACTCCCTGCAATAACAGCCAAAACAGAATCCCCCCTGTCCTCACGTACCACCCCACCAACTTCCGGATCCAACGCATCATCCTCTGACACTTCCGCCATCTGCAATCCGACCCACCACCAAAGACATTTCTTATCTGCTTTCCGAGGGACCACTCTCTCCATGACTCCCTTGTCTGCTCCACACTCCCCTCCAGCCCCGCCACACCCGGCACTTTTCCCTGCAACTGCAGGAATTGCTACACCTGCCCCTACACCTCCCCCCTCACCCCCATCCCAGGCCTCAAGAAGACTTTCCGCATCAAGCAGATGTTCACCTGCACGTCTGCTAATGTGCTGTTCCCATTGTGGCCTCCTCTATATCGGGGAAACCAAGCTGAGGCTTGGGGACCGCTCTGCAGAACACCTATGCTCGGTTCGCACTAAACAACTGCACCTCCCAGTCGCGAACCATTTCAACACCCCCTCCCATTCCTCAGATGACATGTCCATCCTGGGCCTCCTGCAGTGCCACAACGATGCTACCTGAAGGTTGTAGGAACAGCAACTCATATTCCGCTTGGGAACCCTGCAGCCCAATGGTATCAATGTGGACTTCACAAGCTTCAAAATCTCCCCTCCCGCTACCGCATCCCAAAACCAGCCCAGCTCGTCCCTGCCTCCCTAACCTGTCCTTCCTCCCACCTCTCCCCTCCTCCCACCTCAAGCCCCACCCCCATCTCCTACCTACTAACCTCATCCTGCCCCCTTGACCTGTCCGTCCTCCCTGGACTGACCTATCTCCTCCCTAACTCCCCACCTACACTCACCTTTACTGGCTCCATCCCCGCCTCTTTGACCTGTCTGTCTCCTCTCCACCTATCTTCTCCTCTATCCATCTTCTATTTGCCTTCCCCTCTATCCCTATTTATTTCAGAACCCCCTTCCCCTCCGCCATTTCTGAAGAAGGATCTAGGCCCGAAACGTCAGCCTTCCTGCTCCTCTGATGCTGCTTAGCCTGCTGTGTTCATCCAGCTCTACACCTTGTTATCTCAGATTCTCCAGCATCTGCAGTTCCTACTATCTCTGAAACTTCTTGCTATCTCTGGGTTGTGATGAACTGCAGATGCTGGAGTCAGAGACATCACAGTGTCGAGCTGGAGGAACACAGCAGGCCAGACAGCATTAGAGGAGCAGGAAAGTTGACGTTTCGGGTCAGGACCCTTCTTAAGAAAGTGTTTAAAAGACAATCTTATTACTTTAGAACCACAGTTACTGCTGTTGAGTCAAACACAAGAATCCATTTGTCCACATCAAAATCCCAGAAGCAACAAATGAATAAATGATATATGGCTTATTTCTTATCAACATATAAACCAACATTTTCCTAGCTAACATTTTCCAATTTTGTGGAAGGATCACTCAAACCGAAACATTAACTCATTAAAGCATTGATTTCTCCGCACAGATGATGCCAGACCTGCTGAGCTTTTTCAGCAATTTCTGTTTTTGTTTCTGATTTACAGCATCCACAGTTCTTTTGGTTTTAATTTAGTTTAGTTCTTATGTTATTTGAGAAAGCTATTCAGGGCAGGAAATCGGCAGCTTACCAGCTCCACTTTAAATAATGCCACTGGAACATGTGCATTTTCAGACACATGGGGCATGGGTTTGAGTCAACATCCAACAGTGCGATGCTCACATTGAACTGCACTCAGGTTCACAGTGGAGGCTTCAAGCCACAACATTACAACTGAACCAAACTGACATAAGTGCAGTTAGTCTTTAATTGGTTAAAAGTAGTGCCCATTCTTTATTGACAGTGGTAACAGACTATTCCACTAAGGAATGCCACAGCTAAAACGTGCTACATTTGACCATAACATCCTCCTCCAATGCCACTCCACTGTCACTCAGCCAGTGAGACTTGCTTTACCTGGTCCTATACTTACTTATCTAATCTCATGCTGTTCCCAAACCATTACCTCAGACCATTTACGATTGTCTAGGCCCCAAGCTCTGTGATATCCTCCTGCACAAGTCAGCCTCTCTATCTTGCTTTCTTTCTTTAAGATACTCCTTAAGACCTACATCTTTGACTAAGCTTTTGGCCATCTGACGTATTGTGTCAAATCTTCTGAACAGTTGCAATCACACTCAAATTACGATTCCACCCCTGCTTTTTTACACTAAGAAGGTGCTCTGCATTTCTGACAGGAGATTCTGATTTGCACTTTGTCAGAAATGTGTAGTGTAGTTTAAATTGAATAAGTCATTTGTAGTGCATGATAAGAGAAATCAAACTGCACCTCCTTATTCTCAGCAATAGTTGTCATACTCTGTGTTTTAAAACTCCATCGTTACAGACAATGCTTTGACAGCTCGTGTCAAAGGGTAAGTATGTAAAGTATGAATTAAGGTAGGGTGCCACATGGGTAAGGTCCTGGGTGGGAGAGGTGGCATTTTGGTCCCCAGGTGGGGGTGGGGTTAGTACCTGGGAGATAGTAAGAACTGCAGATGCTGGAGAATCTGAGATAACAAGGTGTCGAGCCGGATGAACACAGCAGGCCAAGCAGCATCGGAGGAGCAGGAAGGCTGACGTTTCGGGCCTAGACCCTTCTTCAGAAATGGGGGAGGGGAAGGGAGTTCTGAATTAAATAGGGAGAGAGGGGGAGACGGATAGAAGATGGATAGAGGAGAAGATAGGTGGAGAGGAGACAGACAGATCAAAGAGGTGGGGGTGGAGCCAGTAAAGATGAATGTAGGTGAGGAGTTAGGGAGGGGATAGGTCAGTCCACGGAGGACGGACAGGTTAAGTGGGCGGACTTCACAAGCTTCAGAATCTCCCCTCCCCCATCGCATCCCAAAACCAGCCCAGCTCGTCCCCGCCTCCCTAACCTGTCCTTTCTCCCACCTATCCCCTCCTCCCACCTCAAGCCTCACCCCCATCTCCTACCTACTAACCTCATTCCGCCCCCTTGACCTGTCCGTCCTCCCTGGACTGACCTATCCCCTCCCTAACTCCCCACCTACACTCACCTTTACTGGCTCCACCCCTGCCTCTTTGACCTGTCTGTCTCCTCTCCACCTATCTTCTCCTTTATCCATCTTCTATCCGCCTCCCCCTCTCTCCCTATTTATTTCAGAACCCCCTTCCCCTCCCCCATTTCTGAGGAAGCATCTAGGCCCGAAACGTCGGCCTTCCTGCTCCTCTGATGCTGCTTGGCCTGCTGTGTTCATCCAGCTCTACACCTTGTTATCTTAGTACCTGGGGAGTTTAGTTTAATAGTTAATAAACATAAAGTTCTGTGGGTGCTGGAAATATAAAACAAAAGCACAGAATGCTGGAGCAGGTCTGGCAGCATCTGTAAAGAGAAAAACAGTTACTGTTTTGAGTCCAATGACCTTTCATTAGAACTCAACAGTATTAACTTCAGTTGATTACCTCAGTTGGCTAGATGACCATTCTGCAATGTAGAGTGATACCAACAGCCTGGGTTCAGACCCATACTGGCTGAGATTAC